CCCCTCTAGAAAAGGATGTTATGATTACCATATGGTATTTGGGAAATATTGAGAGCTTTAGGTGGGGTAGGAAATAAATCTCGGTATATACCCCTCCACTGTGACTCGTTGGTATATTATTGTGTCCAGCAATACAAAGATGAGTCGCAGTGCAGGGATAGCACAAAAAACTACCAATGAGTTAATTTCTTACCTATCCCTATTACTTTTAGGTCTGTCGCAAACCGTTTTGGAGTGACAAAATCAACTTGCTGGGAAATTGTTACCCGTACTGGTAAATTATTGCTTAGAGTGAATGACCAGTTCAAAATTATCAGTTGGCCAAATAGGCAAAGACAGGCAGAGATTTCAAATGGCCTAAGTCAAAATGGTTTTAATGGTAAGTGCAATAAAAGTCAGATATAACTATTTTAACTTAAGTATATGAATGGAATTTTGAATGAATAATTTCTATTGCTTCCCCAACAAAATTAAAGGAATTTCCAACTTGGTTAGTATTATTCAAAAATTTAATATATAATATGAATTTTTATTCTAGGGATAATTGGCTGTATTGATGGATCCCACATTAGAATTACAGCTCCAAAAGAAAATTCTAATTCTTATGTAAATCGAAAAGGTTTCCATTCCTTGTTATTACAAGGAGTCTGTGACCACAGACTATTGTTTGAAGATGTATATATAGGGGAACCTGGCTCGCTTCATGATTACACTTTTTTCAGGAAATCAGACCTTTATTCGGCTATACAAAGGCAGGAGTTACAATTTTTTAACGATACCCATTTAGTAGGAGACCTAGCCTATAAATTAGACTTTAACTTACTTGTTGGATTTAAGGATAATGGCCATTTAACCTTAAGACAAAAAAACTTCAATGTAGTTTTAAGTAAGATAAGGGTTAAAATAGAAAATGCACTCGCGTTACTGAAAGGACGTTTTCAAAAATTAAAATTTCTGGAAACTGTCCGGATGGACTTATCATGTCTAAATATAATGAGTTGCTGCATACTGCACAATATTTGTATTTTAAATGGCGATTCATTCGAGGATATTATTGATTTGGATGAAGTTAGGAGAGAAGAGGTTCTCAATAATCCAGAGAATGCAATTGAAATTGATATAGAGAATATCCCTAATCAGGCCATAATCAATCGCAATAATATTGTAAATAATTTACCAATAATTATACGAAGATAAACTGTAAATATAATTTCCAAAACATAACATTTCCTTTGTCCTTCTAAATATTTAAACCTAGATGTAGTTTCAATTTTTTTTCATTTTTCTAGCTTGTGGACACTACTTTCACAAACATTTTGCTATACAGACTGGCAAAAAAGTAACGCATAATACCTGTAACTTTTTTATTATCTTTATATGAAAAGAGGTCCTTAAAAGCTACAGGTTGTATGCATTACTTTTTTGCCACTCTGTATATCTATACTCTTCTAACCAGTCTTGTATATTTTATTAAATAAAAAAATAATTGTTATTTATTTAATTTATTTGAAATAAACCTGGGGTTTTGTAGCAATAATGTTCAAGTTAGCCAATAATATTAATAAATAAATTGAACAATGTTTAAACTCAAGAAAAGCCTCTATTACATCCCACCCTCTACCTACATTTCATAAAAACAAGTTTATAACAAACTAACTCAAAATAAACTCTCCTTAAGACTATATTCACATACATTTGCTACAAAATCCAACATATCTATTCAAAATCTGATGCCCAAAGGTAAAGCTAAAATGTATCACCTTCCAGTGCTATTTGATAGGGAAAGGTGATAAATTTACCTATACCTTTGGACTTCGGATTTTGGATATACTCAAACTACAGATTAGACTCCCATTGTCAAATTGAAAGGATGAAAGATTCCCAAAGTGGTGCAACTACTTTGACTGGTGAAAAAAAAATGCAATGGAAGTTCACATTTGAATATTATTTTTCAGGGAGCTTATCGATCATTTTTTCAAATAATTCATTAAATCTATCCAATCTCTGCATCTTGTCTCTGTGTCTTTTTTCAACTTCTGAATTTTTTCGCTTTCATTTCTTTGAAAATTCGCTTTCAAAATTCTCTTTTCCACTTTCTTCATCAATTTCACTTTTGCTGTTGTCAATTTCGTTGTTTTCCTCTACATTAATTTGGTTTTTACTTTCATTTTGTTTGCTTTTCTCTAAAAAGCAAAAATAAACATTATGTGCATGTAATGGTTAAAAGAGTTGAAGAATCACGAGGAATAGGTCTTTTCGTAAATATTCTTACCTTCAGGATCGGGAACACGTAGTCCACGTAAGCTACTACAGGTAGCAACAGGTGTAATTTCAGGTTTCTTGAACATTATAGCATGCATTACATCAAAGAACTCCCAATACCTCTTTTTTTGTCCAGAGGTATTATTGCTCAATAAAATATTTTTATAAGTGCGGATTAGGGATTTCCACTTTGTCTCACAATGTTTTGCATTTAAAGTTTTGTGCAGATGCTTACAGCATTCTGCTACTTTGAGCCAAACATTTTTTTTTGACTCCAGATGAAAATTGCTTGTCAAATTTTTGAACCGTGTCGATCAGATATAATGTATTTTCTGTGTTCCAAATCTTGGAATTTTCTTCATTGGTTTCAGTGATTGGGTTTTCAGCAGTACTTGAAGCTGAAGGTTCGTTTTCTTGCTGTTCACGTGGCTTTTGCAGTGGATGGGCAATTCCAAATTAATTTGCTATGTTTACGGTAAATGGTATTGATGAAAGTCCCTGGGCTAAAAATAAGGAGGATTATTATTGAAATCAAAAGCTTTGAATATTATTGTCTCAAATATTGTAAAAGCATAGATAACAAAACAGAGAAATTACCTTATTAATTTAAAGGAAGTAAAAGTAGTAAAATAGTAGCAACAGCACCAGTGCTCAGTGCTTTTATTCTTTCAACTTTACTTAGGTAGGTAGGTAGGTACAAACTTTAATCGTAACGTTTTTATGAAGATGAAGCTTGAGGGGTAGGCCCTCCGGGTACACTTTCCTTTCCAATAACATTCAATTACATTCAAAATGCATTGAATAACAAAAACATAAATGGAATTGAATGTACCTACATATTTGAAATTAGGTATAAAAATTCTATCAAGTGACCTAGTTGTCAATGAAGCCAAATAAAACTTAATATTTAAATTTACCTAATTATGGTTGAATAGATAATACTTGATAGTACTTACTAGCCTTATCACAGAGTAAAATATTGTTTTCTGCTGTAATTATTGGTCTTCCTTCTTCGTCAACTTCAACCACAAAGGTTTGTTCAGATATGTCCATGTCCATTCTTGCTACTTCCGATGCGTTTAAAAAACTTTCCAATAGCCTGGCTAATTACAAAAATAAGCGCTTCTGGTTTAAATAGTTCGAAATTTCAAAACATCCAAACTAGACAAGTGTAGTCGAAAAACGTATATAAAAAAATGGGGTTTCCTTTGGCCGGTTTGGGGTTAGATATCACGAAAACAAAAACACTGCTCATGCCCGCTCTGGCGCTTGCTATTGAAAAGGTGGTGCTTTCGGAGTCAGCTCTTCTGACTCCCACGCGTCCTATCCGAACGCAAATGGAGTTACTCTTTTAGCATAAAATTACCATACCCGAACGCATCGGGAGTGTTTAGTGCACTTGGAGTTTATAGAACAGTCATCCCGAACCCACCTATAGTAACATGTTTAATTACCCCCAGGCGCCGGTTATTTCCAATAGCCTGGCTAATTACAAAAATAAGCGCTTCTGGTTTAAATAGTTCGAAATTTCAAAACATCCAAACTAGACAAGTGTAGTCGAAAAACGTATATAAAAAAATGGGGTTTCCTTTGGCCGGTTTGGGGTTAGATATCACGAAAACAAAAACACTGCTCATGCCCGCTCTGGCGCTTGCTATTGAAAAGGTGGTGCTTTCGGAGTCAGCTCTTCTGACTCCCACGCGTCCTATCCGAACGCAAATGGAGTTACTCTTTTAGCATAAAATTACCATACCCGAACGCATCGGGAGTGTTTAGTGCACTTGGAGTTTATAGAACAGTCATCCCGAACCCACCTATAGTAACATGTTTAATTACCCCCAGGCGCCGGTTATTTTCAAAAAATCCTGGAGTAGGTAATTGAAAACATCCCATATTTCAAAAACTACAAGTATCTACCATGAATGCATTTGAATGTAGGATAATGTGTCAATATGCCCTCGTAAAATGCATTTTGATTTTGATAATGATAAAGTTTTTATATACACTAAATGTGACTCATACTCAGGCAAATGATAAAAGCGTTTCCAATGACGCACATTGACCCACTACTAAAGTTGGTCATATTTTTACGATTTCCAGCCTTTTAACTACCCAAACCCAACCTATATTTCCTGTCAGACCTTGCAAATTCTTTATCTTTAAAAAAATTACAGTCTCTAATTAATGGAAGTTACAATGATAATAAATCCTGAAGCACATTAAAAAGTTTCATACGAATAAAACGGTTTTGATCAGTAGGCATTGTTTTTATAATTTTATCTAAAATTTACCATTGATTTTGGGATTTTTTTTCCTTATGAGAAAAAGCACTTCATCAAAGAAAAAAACAAAGATTCATGATTGAGTCGATGGTACTTATTTGACACCCGACCAGAACCAGCAAACTGTATACCTAAGCTTTGTTTTGATTCGGAAAAAGGACAGCTCTAGAACGGTTCAAAACAACCGCACAGTTTATCTATAAACAAAATAACAACGGCTCGGCTATCAAAAATTCCAATAATAAACTGTGCGATTCTTTTGGACCATTCTAGAACGGTCCTTTCTTCGAACCAAAACAAAGCTCCAAATAATGGTTAAAGAGAGTACTCACTCTTGAGCTGATGGAAATATTGACAATGTCGGAGCTGATCATTATATATTAGGGTAATGATTTATGCTATACATTTTCCTAAACATAAAAAAATACCTAATTATCGGAAAAGGGATCAACTTACTTTTTAGATTCTTAATCACCAGCTTCTTAGCTGGTACAGGCATGATAGTCACCACATGATTTCTGCTTACCCCATTTATAGGAAAATTGGAAAAGTTTGCTTTAGGATTTGTCTGCTCCATGATATTTTTGAAGAAAGTCCCAGTAATAACAATAATACCTTCAGCTGATTATTGGCAGGGACAAAGCTAGGTTAACCTGAAATAATAAAAATACAATTTCACATTTACCTTAAAACCAAGCCAATTTTTGGACTTTTCCACAAACAAACATGTAAAGTTTGAAAAAATTAGAAAACTCCAATACTAGAATAACAGAAAAACACTCGCAAGATAACATACCTGCTCAGTAAATTTTCTTGCATGACTTCCCTAAAGAAAAGAATGAAAAATTGAAACAGTGAGGACCCTTTTTATGTATGTTCCCCTTTGTTGGAGGCAGGATTTGTTATTCTGCAATAGTTAGAACGTACGTTCTCCTCCTCTAAATTATATGCTCTAATATACAAGAGAAAAGAAAAGAGCTAGGAAATGAGGATATGTCAAATGTCAAACTGGTCATAAGTCAGAAAAATTTCCCCCCAACAAGCTTAGCGTTTTCCAATGGCCAACCCAGTGCTGCACTCAGATTGCACTGAGACTCATAAGTTGTAATTCCTTTCAAGAGTTTGAAACACTCGAGCTACTCGCTCCGGTGTTTGGTAGCCCCCGATTTGCAGAGAACAAATGTGTGGTACGACAAACACTTTTAGGGCGGGTATTATAAAACTGCTTTGACAGTTAACTTGAAGTTAACTTTTTGAATTACATGTAATTCCAGAAGTTAACTTTAAGTTAACTCTCAAAGTGGTTTTATAATACCCGCCCTTAAGCGCCTGAAGCCCCGGAGCTGTTCCGGAGCTCCTCCTAGATATGAAAGGAATACAACTAGTTGTATTCCTTTCAAGAGTTTGAAACACTCGAGCTACTCGCTCCCGTGTTCAGTCGCCCCCGATTTGCAGGGAACAGATGCGTGGCGCAACAAACACTTTTCGAAAGGTATAAGCGCGTGAAGCCCCGGAGCTGTTCTGGAGCTCCTCCTACGCGTGAAAGAAATACTACTAGTGCTAGCCTCTATTAACAGCTTAGGGAGGATTTTCATGCATTCGTTTTTCCGTCGAAATATGTCCGAAAAGTCTTCTATTTTGACATATTTATATACGATTATGTCAGAATAGAATGTTAAACGGACATATTTCGTCGGAAAAACGGATGCATGAAAATCCTCCCTTACGGTAAAGTCTGTTTTTTTTTAAGTCAAAAATTTAGTAACTATGTTGGCAGCACAAGCCTTCTCTACATAAAAAATTTGAAAGCATCGACAAATTAACAGTTTTGCCAACATAATTTCATTTTGACTTTTATCTTTAAAAAAAAAAACAGTCTTTAAAAATTCCGCTCCGCTTCTACCCTTCTTCTTCTTCTTCTTTGTTTTAATGGCGCTGCTGCTGAGGCAATTTGCCAGCACGATTTCGTGGTGACCCTGATGTTGTCTGGCTCTAGGCCATATCATAGGTCCCCTAATTGTTTCACTCTTTTCTTCTATCTTCAATTTTTTTATTTTTATTTGAAAGGCACATCCAGGATTTGCCTAGATCAATCGCTGAAACCGGATATAACCTTTTTCGGCTCAACTTTCGTTTAGCTGAAATCAGGTATATAAGAGATGTTGTTACAGTTGTTTTCAGAAAGTCTTCCTTTTATCAGAAACACATAAATTTTCCTGCGGAAATGCGTCATTTCCATTTTCCGGACTTTAGAATAGCTGAAATCAGTTACATTGAAAAAATTGTTTGCTTTGCATTTTGTAACATTTTTCTGAATAAAAAAACACAAAAATTTTCCTGCGGAAATAAGCTGTTTCTTTGCTGTTTCTATTTTTCATAGAAATTCATCAGATTTTAGAATAGGTACATAGTTGAAATCAATTGCGTGAAAAATTGATGTCCCTTTGCATTTAAAAAAAATTTCTGAATATAAAAACGTGAAAATTTTATTGCGGAAATACGTCATAATTATTTATTTGTTTGGTTGTAATTTGTAATAAGGTTATAATAGGACAATCCAATCACTATGGCGGCTTAGATCAAACAGTGAAATTGGCGCCACAAGAATTCTATCCACCTTCGACGAACCTTTACTAAATTCAATGTTAACATACAAGGACTAGTACGCATTACGTGGACGGGTTAGTTTGGGTTAGTTCCGATAAACTTCGTTTAATTGGTTGAAAACAAAGCGTGCAAAGCGCGCTTTGTTTTTTAAATTCATTATTTCAATATCAACATACAAAGACTAGCACGCATTAGGTGGACGGGTTAGTTTCATTACAGCTCGTTTAATACTGTTTATGTACCTACGAGCTACACTGTAAGAGCTTATTATTAAAAACGGCACTTTTTAAAATTCATTAATCAAAAATTATAAAAATAATCTACTGTGAAAAATTAAAACCATTTCGAATACATGAAAAAAAATCTGGGTCGTACATAAAATGTTGTATACCACACGTACGCTAACTCTCATAACACCACTCGTGTGATTACCACGACACGATCTACGACCTCGTCTTGGCAATATTCCCCACTCGTTACTGTAATGAAGCTCATACCTTACTAGTAATATAAATAACTATTATAGGTGTACTGGTTAATAACAAAGCGTGCGAAGAGCGCTGTTGTTTTTCTAAATTCAATATACAAGGACCTAGCATGCATTACGTGGACGGGTTAGTTTGGGTTAGTTTGTATATTTTCGGTTAGTTTCATTACGGTTCACGGACTCCACCGCGAAAACACGAACCGCGCGCGACATCACCGCCTACTGAAAACCGCGCAAGACCATAACCGCGTCGTCCAAAATCGCTTTTGTCACAACCGCTCATATCTTTTATCGCGCAAAATTCTAAATAGGGTTTACATTCAAAACCGCGCAAAGTATTAAAATAAATTTTCCTTTCTATATGACAGAAACGTGCATCTCTTATTTTGTTTGTTGAAATCCAATGCAATTTTAATATACAGAATCAGAGAAAAAAATACATATTAGAGAGTTATTGGAACTATTAAATACTGCCTCGCAGTATTAAAGATTTACGTTATTTTATTAGTGCATCAGCCCTATTTTTCCAAGAAAAAAACACTTATTGGAAGACTGCAGTAGGTGTTAGAGTATTACCTTATTTTGTATTCATAATTTTGACAGATGATAGCTATGTTCATAAATTTCAGCCTCAAGAAGTGTTTATGTTTGTTTGTGATTTTCTGCTGATACTCATTTTTTGATGTTACCCACAGTAAAATGGAAAACTATTGTAAAAAATAAATTTTCTAAGTAAAATTACGTCATCGTCGAAAAGTAAAACGTCAAAGTCGTCAAAAATGTCAGAAATTTGAAATAAGGGAAGTTTACTGCCTCGCACTAACCATACACAAATAAAGACAAGCAGTAACCTTATTAAGGGAATCCTTAATTTCGGACCCAAATGCGCATGTGTAGATGTCAAAATAAGGCTAATTTAAATACTGCTTGTCCTTATTGCACGTCCAATAACTCTCTATTATATTTATTGATTTGCTGCATCAATCGTGAAAATGTCAATACCGAACTTAGAAATCATCTTTGAAGGTCTCAGGTCTCTATGGAATATGCAGGATCTGTTTTAGGCAGAAATTTCCATCTTCTTCTCGACCTTTGATACAGATTAATGAATGATATCTGCTATTATCGCCTTAATATGAAGACCTCCAGAAACCAAATTTAAATAACAAAATTGTATAGTAAATGTTTTAAAGATATTTAGATAAAAAAGCGTTACTGCAAGAAAAATATTTCAATTTCAGAATTAAACAACTTTATAGGGATCTCCAAAAACAAAAACCCAATTTTTAAATGACAGATTTCCCGATTTTTTTGAGGAAAAAATTAATATGTTTGTCGCTGGAAATTTATTGAATATTTAGTCTAAATCTGTTATTAAAAAATCTAATTTACAAAATAAAATACTCAGGCTCAGAATAACAATAAGTCGAGCGATTGTGGTATTAAGCTGATAAGAATATATATTATTTATTGATCTGTGTCAAAGGTTGAGAAGAGGATCTGAATTTGTAACTAGGAAGCGTTTCCAAATTAAATTTCCAATAACTTCAACAACCTAAGTATATGGTTTTCGACCCAAAGCGTTTCAACTATTTCGCTATTATGTATTCTACGCGGTTTTGTTTTGCGCGGTCTTCCACTTTCGCCGTAATTGTTCAAAAACATTTTTTCGCTGTTTTGTGTTGCGCGGTTTAGGTCTTGCGTGATAAAATTTTGCGCGGTTTTGAGTGCGCGGTGATGTCGCGCGCGGCTCGTGTTTTCGCGGTAGGGTCTGTAAATCGTTTCGTTACAGTTCGTTTAATATTGGTTGTAAGTGAAGCGTGCGAAGCGCGTTTGTGTTTTTCTAAAATCAATATTAATATTCAAGGACTAGTACGCATCAGGTGGACGGGTTAATTTGCATATTTTTGGTTTACAGTCCGTTTATTACTGGTTATAAGTGTACTGTGTACTGGTTGACAAGAAAGCGCGCTGATAGCGACCAACCGATAATAGGGAATTTTTGTAGTTGATTTTCGAAGGGTGGGCCAAATCGTCAATTATAAATATATTAATTTTCTGATGGAAAATGTGCATTTTCCTCATTTTTTTTTTTTATCAAAGGTAGGGAAGAGGCGTTTTTTGAATGGCTTCGAAAATAGAATCTATGCATTTTCGTGAGAAAATTTTTCCTTTTTTACATACAGAAAAATGTTTACAATGCAAAGGAATATCAATTTTTCACGTAATTAATTTCAACTATTCTAAATGCCTACTCATAAATTTTTCCGGAACATGGGAACAGCTCATTTCCGCAGGAAAATTTCTGTATTTGTATGTTCAGAAAAATGTTGAAAATGCAAACAAATAAAAAAATTTCACATAACTGATTTCAGCTATTCTAAAGTCCGGAAAATGGAAATGAAGCATTTCCGCAGGAAAATTTGTGTGTTTTCGTTTTTATGGAGGCATTTTGAAGGTATTTTTCTATTTTCTTTTCTGATAGCTGATTTCTGCTAAACGAAAGTTGACCCCATTTTTCTGTCAAAACAAACAGCGTTTTCACGAGTCTCAGACTCTAGCCGCCATTTTGCCAACGTAACCACGCGTGAACCTTCTGTTTATCTAGGAATCTAAGCCGGCTTAGTCAAAAAGACGCAAACAAATCCACGGATGGCGATGAATCTCGGTTTTTACCCGCGGAGGTGAGCCAAAATTTGGTCTCTACACGCCTCTAGTGCACCACCCGGTGAAGCTCTTTGAGCTCCTTAAACCAACCGACAACACACTCTGGCGAGGACAAAACGAGACTGTGCGCTTCTACCCTTTACGAACGAAAATAGAAAATTTCCTCAAAAAGGCAAAAGTCCGTCAAGCTGGCAACACTGTGGCTGACTCGTTATCAAACGCAAGG